CCCCCCCCCCCACTCCACCACGGCCTACACTCCCGTGTGCACGAGGGCTGTGCGTGGGTACACTCTTACTAGGCGTGGAACTGAACGGACACCGATGAGGACGCAGCTGCCCTGGTTGCTTTCAAGAAAAGCCTGGGTGAGACTCTGGGATAACCCGACCAGTCGAGCTATACGGACCTCCTCTGGGGTAGAACTTAACCGTAGCTCTGTTGAGGCCAACCGTATTTTGCTTTTCCATGCTTAAAAAGAAACGGAAATGCAGAAGTTTCAAAAAGAGAGCGGCACGTATAGAAGCTTTCTTACCATCCCATTACCGAGAGCTTCTCTACACGTCTTTCCCATTTTGACCGTCTTTTTAGAACCATTCTTATTTTATTTTTCTCCCACCTCGTACTCCGTGCGCGTGACCGACCCTTGTTCGGGCTCGACCGCGCGTTTCCAAACTCGGCGCTTGGCTTTGTTCACGCACGACACGGACCTGCGCGCGCGGAGGCAGGACGGGATGGAAAACCGTCGCCAACGAAGCGCTTGGGAATCTCGAGTCACACACAGAGAGGGGGGTGGGGGGGGCACCGAGACGGACGTCCGACGAGGGGGGAGAGCGCGCGCGAGGTGAAGAGGGAAAAGCAGGAGGGGGGGAAAGAGACTGACGGCAGGGCGGCCGTGAAGAAAGTGACAGAAGGAAACGGTTCAGGCAACAAACGTACGAGTGGGAAGTGAAGGCGAGCGGAACAGATGATGGGAAAGATACCCTTGATGGAAAACACGACGGGCGGGGGAGCGACGGGTTCACGTCACGGGAAGGGGGAGGGAGCAGGACGAGGAGGAGGATGGAAGCAAAGAGACCGGAGGCCACGACGTTCCGGCCCTGCTGCGGACGCGCTCTGACCCACGACCTCCGACCTGCGTAGTAGAGCTGGCTGGGTCTCAGGGGCCGTCTCTCCCAGTTGGACAGCTGCTCTGTCTTGTCCAGCGGCTTGCCCAGAACCTGCTGGACCAGCAGGCTCAGCCCTTTCTCCGCGGGTCCATTACTGGCCTCCACGTTCCGTGGTCCTGCTGGGAGGCTGCGCTTTGCCCGCTGGAGCTGCAGGGAAACACACACACACACATACGAATCTTGTTTAAGAGCCAAGCCACTATCAGGTTCCAGATACCGAATGCTCATGGCCGTGTTTTGGGTACATTTGCATGGATGGGGGATGGAGTTCAAAGCATGTTTAATAAAAAATAAAAAGCTGCTCAGTGTGTTCAAGACCTTGTACAAGCCGCAGCGAACACGGGGATAGAACAAACAATTCTGTTAAAAATTCTGGAAAAAGGCAATTCGGCACACAGGCAGGAGAAAACTCATTTTTTTCAGCCGTAAGAGATCACCAATTCGTGTCCTAAAGGAGGACTGCAAATGCTTGTCGCAGATTCGTGACAAGAATGACAAACGTGAGGAGGGACAGAACCGGCCCGCTCTCTGTACGGAGGCACGCTTGTGTTGTCACGTCACAGGGAAAACCACTGATTGGCCGGGCCGGGTTATGGGAGCACGCTGCAGCTGCTAACACTGGAGAAGGCTCAGAGAGCGCGAGGGGTGGCCTCACGTCCACGCTCGACCACAGCGCTCAGGCTCGGAGCGCGTGAAGGGAGATCACCTGTTGGTGTGTAGAGAGCAGGTCCAGGACGCTGGCTTCCTGCAGGGGATCCTGGCAGAACTCCGGCCATGTGGCGGACAGGCTCCGCAGGTCTCCTGACATCCCGTACCCTGGACCAGACCAGAGAGAGGGTTTTTTTTAGAATGTGTGTGGGAGGGGAAGGGGGGGCGGGGGGCGTCACTGATGGTTGATTTTTTTTTATCGTGTTCTTATCAGGAAGCAAGTGGCTGTGAAATTTCTGTGGTCGGCAAGCAGCAAGCAGCTCGTTTTGTCTACCTGTGAAACCGGAACAAAATAATTAGCATGGTTAACAAAAACTACACTAATGTCAACGTACTGCTTCTTATTATTATTTTGTTATTATTGCTTGTTATTAATGCTTTAATTTAATTTAATGGCTATTTTAATTGCATTAGCTATTAAAACCAATTAAAAATTTTCCATTTCATCCAGATATAAATGTACGCATATTTCAATGGAAACAAATTCCTACTGTATTCCAAACCCTAGGCGTGTAATTTGAGAAGCCATCTTTAAAGGCGCTATATAAAATACAATTTATTACTGTTAATATCACGCTTAAAACAAAACAGTTCAACCGAAGGCACGTGGTGCTGAAAACGCTGACCCGATCGCAAGACAGAATCCCAAACATAGGCATGAATCAGGACAGATCTTCTGCAACGACCAGCCCAGGACAGCACTGGCACTGGAGTATTCAAATTGAAAACCTGGGTTTTAAAATGCTGAGTATGCATTTTAAAATGGCTAATTACTTACATTCTGGATAAGCAGGTTGTAATTGATTAAGGTGAACCCTTAAGATTAAGAGACTGTTGCTTTACCACAGCTTTTTGTACGCTGGGAGGAATATAAATGTTGAAAAGGAACAAAGCCTATTTATAAATATCGTCGAAGAGCGCAAAAGAGAACAGGATCGTATTCAATTAAAGTAACTGAGGCTGTGAGGGCTGAAAAGCTGACTGGACTCACCCAGCTTGGTGATGCTAGGGTCAGCGAACAGGGACCGAATAAAGCCGGCCAGCTCTGCCAGGCGGAGATGATCCTCATGCCCGCTCTCGCATGGGTCCAGCAGGAACACGAAGCCGGGCACTGCCAGCTGGATCAGCGCCGCGGGCGGCTTGGACACCGAGCCAAATCGGGCGCGCCACTCCATGTCAAAGCCCACCACTGCCCCCGACTGTCGGGGTACGAGGGGGGGGTGGGGGGGAAGAGCAGGAATAAAAACATGAGAAATCGGATGGAGTGTGGAAGAGGGAAGGACAGGGAGAAAAAGAACACGTACAGCAGAACCCAGGAAAGTGCAATGTTTTAAATCTGTCACAGTATGTTAAGATTTCTTCTGCTTCCTTAACACAAATGCAAAAAAAAACACCTTAATCTGAAGCCACATCCTGTCAGAATTATCAAAAGTATGAAACAACTCTCAAAACATAACAATGCATAATTAAAAAAAAAAACTGAGGAATGCAGACAATGGGGTTGTACCTTGAGCACAGTCTCTTGGCACCATCTCAGCCCTTCTACAGTGTCCAGGAAGTGAATGCTTTCCTTTGGCACAGGAAGCTGGTAGCAATTGTCCTTCCTGTGCAGGGGCAGCTCCCAGGTATCCAGAGTGTCTGCAGTGTCAGCCTGCTGGACGCTGTGAAAGTCCGGAAGGATAAAGTGAGTCAGTGGGCACTGCTGCCACAGGGTACGAGTGATGGCACCAGGCAGAGGGAAAAGGGACAGAGGGAGAGGTGGGAAGGCAGCGTGGACTGGGAGAGGCAGAGGCAGTGTGGGGCAGTGGTTAGAGCTGAGACACTGGGAGAGGCAGAGGCAGTGTGGGACAGAGGTTAGAGCTGAGACACTGGGAGAGGCAGAGGCAGTGTGGGACAGAGGTTAGAGCTGAGACACTGGGAGAGGCAGAGGCAGTGTGGGGCAGAGGTTAGAGCTGAGACACTGGGAGAGGCAG